ATTCTTCTTTTATTTCCTATTCTGAAAAACTAATTTGAATTACAAATTTTTTAATCTAATGTTGTGTAAATATTTTATATGCATCTGTATTATTCGTCTGTTGTATACTTAACCTCTTTTTTTTGAAATTTCTTCAAAAAAAATTTTTTTTGAAGCATATTCATATAAAAACACATGCAAAAACATACCAATACATACTTTATAAGAATAAATAAATTTTTTTGCACTTATTTTGACAATATGTAAAAATTCTGTCATTACACTCATTTATTTGCTACATAAAAATGAGGAATCTGCGGATAATTTTTTTTAGTATAAAAACAACTGTTCAAAAACTATTTTGTGTTACAAACGGCTAAAAACTTTTTCAAGCATAAAATCAAAATGAAATCATTTCTAAATTTTTATTAATTTACTGCAGAAAGAGAAAAAAAAGTTAAGGTTATTGTAAAAAATTAAAATGCCAAAGAAGGTTGCTTATCTGATAATAGCATTTGGAAAACGATGAAAGACGAAACCCCCCCCAAAAAAAAAAAACGATTGACGAGGTTTGCGGATGGCAGAGATAGGGAAAATGTTACTTTTGAAATCGATATTTGGCATTTTTGTGCTTCAACTGAGTCATTTTGTTGTTTCTTTCACATAAAAGAAGCTTCATTTCTATTCTTTTTGTTTCTTTCGTGTTTTTTCCTCTCCGTTATTTGAGTTTAAGAAAATGATTTTTATTTTCTGTCTTTTGCTGTTGTTTAACAGCAGAACACCGTGTTTATTAGTTTGTTTCAATCATCTCTTATGTGTATATTTGAAATTGTACAAAAAATTGCGAAAAGCAGGTATATTTTTTTGAAAGAAAAATTGAATTTTGAGAAGACTTTGTGGTTTTTATAGGTAAATACAAAAAATTTCTTTGCTGATTGAAAGCAACGTCTAAACAACTGTTGCGGAAATCTGTCGACATTGTAAAAACAAGTTGTCAATTGAGTTGCCAATGAGAATAATGCATCTTTTCACATTCTTTAAAACACAATGTTGACCGCAATTTTGTGTTTTACAAATAATTCTATCAAAACTTAATCATTAAAAATTTCAAAT